GCAGACTGATCATTGGAATAACATCACACAAACTATTATTATGATAGAAAATCGCTCTCTACAACAGCAAAATACTTTTTTTTATTACCTCATAATATACACTATATTGATATTGTTATATAAAGTTTCAGTTTATACTGTGAAATTACATGAAAACAAGACCAAATATCACTATTTAACAGGAATTAAACAGAAAAATTGTAATAGTTAATGTTATTGGTGTAGCCAAGTAGATGCTTTTGCACTTTTTTTGTTTATAAGTATGGTTGTCAAAAGTATCGAAACTCAAAAAAGTATCGATACTGAAACGTATCCGGATACAATACTCATTTTTAAAAGTATCGATACAGCCATCTAAAGTGCAGAATAGTGGAAATGCACTTTCAGAACACTGTGATTAAATAATTCTGTATTTTTCAGTTTCAGACTTTTTCTGTAAGAGGTGCAGCTGCTGAGAATTATTTTTGTTTAACTGGTTTGGCTAGTGTCATTGTTATATCTGCAAAGCATAGCCAAGGAAGGAACACTCAATTTTAATTTTGTAAGTTTATTCAAGCTTGCTTAATATTGTGCACAGCATACAACCTCAAAATATTATTCTTATTGTTTTTTTTATTTATTTATTGTATTTTTTTTAGTAATGAAAATATTTCTGTTGAATTTTAGAGTCTTTGTTTTTATTCTTGTGGCATCGAAAATAGTATCGAGTATCGAATATTTTACTTAGTATCGGTATCGAGTTGAAAAGTTTAGTATCGTGACAACCCTATTTATAAGGCTCTAAATGTACAGTCATAAAAGTATTGGCCAAAGATGGAAGAATACTTTGTATTTTCATCGATACCATTGTAGTAGGGCTGCAACTAACAATTATTTTGCAAATCGTTTCATCTGTCGTTTTTTTTTTGATTAATCGATTAATGATTGGATAGCCAAAGGTTCCTTAAAGAGTTTTGTTCTTGTAATAATATGACTTTATTCTCGTACTGTAACAACTTTAAATTCTCAAAATGGAAAAAAAAAAAATCTTTAGCCTGGCCCTAATACTCTTTTTGGCTCAACAGATGAAATGCACTTTTAACCTTGTGATCATCTCTCCCTACTCATATTACAGACAATTTAGTCAGATTGGTGAAAAGTTTCTGTGAAGGAAAACCTGTCGAATTCACCCAGTCATTGACTTGCAGGGCATGCTCCTCCTGGATGGTTTTACTCGTATAAATTCTCTAAAACATTTACTGCCTGGTCTTAAATAATGCTAATTTATGTTAGAAAATCCTGCTATATTTTTTTTGACTTGGTCTGGTTTGCCAAATCTACAATTTGCATTTAAAAATGTTCTTTATTCAGATGATATTAGAGTGTTAGTATACTGTATGCAGAGAGGCCACCAATAACTTTTTGTGTCGTTTAACTGTCCTATGTGGGTCTGTTTTTAAAACTGACTGCTTCAAGGGAACGAAGGCATTTTTTTTCTGACTATGACGTTTATTGTGACGTAAAGACATGGATCTGAAATTGATCTCTGGCTGTAAGAACAACATCCAATCTGTTTTAAAATATTAAAATAAAATGGCTTTAGTGCAGACTCTGGTGAAGCACCAGTACTTTTGACCTTTTTTTGCTTTAGAAATGTACAAATTGCATTTTACTATTTTTTTTTTCAAATGAGGATATTCTAGTAGTCCTTTACAACCAATTTTTGGTTTTGAGTGACGCTCTGAGATGAACTGGTGACCTGTCCATGCTATATCCTGTTTTTTTTACACAGACTAGAGAGAGATATCAGCCTCCCAGAATCATTGGTTGGTTGTTCTTTCTTAATGTTTTTTTTTATTAAAACAATGATGGAACAATGCTGCCCCTGGGGAAAAAAATCATTTGCAACTGCATGAATTAGTTAAGCCCAATCTAAAGTCTCTGTGTGAAAGCAGACTAGATCAACTAAACATGTACATGTTTTTACTTAAACAAATCCCTGGACTTATTCCTGCACTATTCCTACATTGAGAATATTCTCTCAATTTCTGACTGATTCAAACATTTTAATTAGAAAGATTATAAAACAAAAACAAAGTGTCAGAAATCTGTTAAACAATTAATAATAGGAGTTGTTGAATTGATTAATTTGGTAATACAAGGGTACCATATCTTTTATAATCAGGACTTTTTAAATTTTTATTTACTCTTGTTTTGTGTATCTTAATATACGTTCTGATAAAGTCCAAGTTTATTCCCCTCATTATGACAATACAATATAAAAGTGCTTATTGCTAATTAGAACTGTAAAAACAAAAATAAAGCTTCATATTTGCCTCCTGATTGCAAATTAGTCTTAGAAATCAAAATGCAAATAAATCAAGGCTACTTAATAAAGGATCTATAACTTTAGCCAGCGGCTAAAGTTATAAATTTATATATTTTTATATATATATATATATATATATATATTTTTTTTTTTATGGAACTCTTTTACCAATTTTTTTATTTTTTTTTTTTGATTGGCCTTTATTTTAATCATGTCTAACATTGTACCCTCCATAGTCATTTATTTACAACATAGAGGTTTCATTTTATTTTAGTCGTGTTGTGTTCAAAGACCCAAGAAATTGTTATTTTTCCAATCATCAGGTGATTCACTTGCCAAAATGTTTTACCTGGTTAATTGAGATAAAACATTACATACATTATCTGCTCACCTTTGAAAATGCTTTGCATTTTCCTTTTGTTTAAGATGATTTTTCTCTAACTTTTATTGTGTTTTAGGTTAAAGTTGACCACACTTCTTTTCTTTCCCTTTGAGAAATGTCATATATTTCTTTCTAAAGGGTTGTATTTTTGCCATTCATTGCTGCTTTTTTCTCCGAAGGAGGATAAAGTAATACATTCTGTTTTCAAAGCATTCATTATTCAGGATTGTGCATTAAAACTGCAGGGGATCAAACAAGAAACTTTATTCCCAGATGGGAAATTAAATGCAATTACAGCCTTATGAAACATTCATGACCACCTAATTTCATCTGAAGATCAGAGCTTTAAATCTAAGCTAACTGCAGCATGATCGAATATGTTTGACTTTCCTAATAAGCCTTTAAAACTAACCATTCCTCCTGAAATTAGCAGAGCTTCCCAACTTGCACATCCGTTACCTGAAGCGATATCAGATGTCACAAAGATGACATTTCTGTCTGTTTTACTAAATGAAGCAATTATAAGTATTAATAAGATCTTTCCCACCAGGGCTGGAAAATTCCACTTCCTGAGGGCCTGTATTCTGCAGAATTTAGATGCCTTCCAGGTGAAACATACCTGAATGGATTAACAGAAATACCTCCTCAGTCAGTTTCTCCAGAAACCTCTTAATCATCTAATCACTTGAATCAGTGTCTTGGACCAATTAGACATTAAAAAGCTGCAGGATGCTGCACCTCAGAAACTGGAATTGTGGTTTAAAGGGAGATATCAGTGTTAGTTTAGATAAATGGGAATAAGGCTGTTTTTTATTTTCTCAATTAAAGAAATATTATTCTTGCTGTATTTTAACATTTTGTAGTTTTTGCATTTCGGTTTACACATTTGTTGAATTTCATGATGAATCAAAGATGAACCATTTAACACAGCTGTTCTGTATATAAATGTTAGTCTGTTCATTCATTCTTCATAAAAAGACTCTAATCATACATGTTTTCACCTTTATTTTAAACTTTGTTATTTTTACATCTATTTGCGGTGACCGTACCTAGAGCATTTTGATTGACCATTGTTTTTTTATAAGAAGCCTTAATCAGCATGGCTCTAAAAGTTTTTCATTTAAGTGGCGCTTAAATAAGAAAAAAGAAAAAAGTGCGCAGGAAACTGTTTTTATTGCAGTTTCTTTTTTTCGTTTTTCTACAGTACACTGCCAGAAATTGTCAATAAAGTAAATCCACTTTTCTCAAAACAAGTGCATTTTACTTGAATTGAGCCGGTAAGGGAGATACTTTGCCAGTGAAAAAAATATAATTTACATTGAAAATAAGAGAAAAAAAACTGTAGTCTCTTTTTTTCAAGTGCATAATATCTAATTATTTTATTTTAAAGTTAAAAATACTCATTTTGTTGGCATATCACATTATTTACCTATTCAAACTCAGGGTAAATACACTTATTTTAAGAAATGTTAACTCATTGTTATATTGTTTTTGCAATGTAGAATAGCTTTTGTCCATAACAACCTTCATGCATTCCTGTAAAACTGATACTGTTTAAAAAGCAGCTTTCTTTCCAGATACCTTTTAGATCTGTGGACATTACAGTGCCTAGAATATTATATATATATATATATATATTTGTTTATAGGAGAATTTTTAAGTCCAAATAGTTTGTGCCAAATAATTTTTGTTTTTATGATAATAAACTTTTAATGACTGACACTGCTTCAGTTTCCAGTTTTAATAATGCTTGACTGACTCCATTCTTATTTATCTGAATGTGGATTTAACACATCCAAACTCACTTAGCACTTAAATATTGATTTGTTTGAGCAACTATATACAGTAATATGATAAACTTAAATGGAAGTAAAATAGGTTCCCTTAATCAAAAAATAATGGAAACGAGAAATGAAAGAATTACACAAACATAATATTTTAATGCAGACTGTATATGATCTGAACTTTTAAGCACAGTGCATTAAACATTAAACCACATATTAATCTGTTTAGAAGCCCTAAAAGTGGAAATGTTGGTGTTCTGTTACATATAACAACAAAAGAAAACCCATTACTGCTTTTGATCAAAGCCAATTAAAGAAACAATGGTAGATAACATGGACTGGTTGAAGATTTCAATGCTAATAATAATAATAGATCTTTTTATTCTAAGTGCTGCATAAGTGCCCTTGTTCTGTCAGTTAGTTATTTCCACTGTTCCTGAAACAGATTATAACCGGTACTGTAGAATGTGTGTCAGTGTTAAATGATGAGATGACAACTGACTCTTGACTTTTTATGTCTTCACAGAGTGAGCATCTTTGAATCCTAAGAGCACAAAGTCTCCTCACGGGAGACAAAATGGCGTCCAACAACACTTTACGCAGCTACTCCATCATTCCCTGTTTCATTTTTGTGGAGGTAAGCAGATGTGTGTTCATGCATGGGTATCAGTAATTAGGTTTTGATATAAAAAAAAGTGCAAATGCAAATATTTAGATGCTTTTTGGGGATTCATGATTGACCGGCTAACTGGTGTGATTCATGATCTTTTTATTTTGACCTTTTTTCTACTTTTTTGTTAATCAAAAGTAATGTTGACAAAGCATCTTGGCCCCTAGATGTTTTCATTTACTAATTTTACGTGGTGTTAAAGTATGCAAAGGCGATTGACTGCTTGCCAAAGCTTCAGGATTTGACAATATACAATATCTAGAATATACAGCCAAAGCTGTAGCTTTGTTTGGGAACAGAATTTGTCATAGTTAACATTTAACAGTTAACATTTCTAATTATTTATTAGAAATTGGTTTTATATGGCAGATATTTTGCACCAGTTCCTTTCTTTGAGCGACGGGGAATGTGGGTTCGTCCTATAACTGGTGGGTTGCTGGTCTGCTCTGTCTCTATCAGAGCCATTCATTATGTGTTTTTTTGTTTCTGCATTTTTGTATTTTACTTTTCTTTTCCTACTTGCTTTGATTCTGTTTTATTTTCCTATATTTTAATCATGTAAAGCACTTGGCATCGTCTTTGTACTGAATTGTCCTCTACAAATAAATTTGCCTTGCCTTGCCTTGCCTATCAATGTGTCGATGGGCAAGACGCTTTACTGGTAGTCATAGGACTCGGTGGCAATGCTGTACGGAAGCCTCACCTCTGTTAGGAAAGCTGTAGCTACAATCTACCTTAGCACCATCGTTATTGAAATGTGGAAGTTAATTGGCTGAATGACTGAAAGTAGTGTTCTGACTTGGAAAAAGTCTAGGTCAGTTACCATTTCTGCCACCAATGATTTATGATGGTGAAAAATTGTCATTTTTTATTTAATAAAATAAAAATGTTGATGCTATCTAAAATGGTAATACTATCTAACAGTAATTCCAGTGTAGTTGGCAATGATACACAGTAAATAGTGACACAAAGAAGATACATGCATATATGAGGGATGATTTATAGCTGCAGATGGCCACTTTAGGTGAATTATAGGCAGCTCACCAGAGCATGAATTGTTAGACAAAGTGGAGAGCTGAATGTGTATTTGTGCCTCTGTGTATCTTTGTGTGTTTAGGGATCTCTGCAGCCTCTCCATATTTAATTATAGTGTCAGCAGAAAGTCTTTAATCAGATAGATATCTCAGGACACTAGACTCTCTACTCTATTTTCTTTTGTTTATAAAATTGTCACTTGCACTCATTCGCCCCCCCCTTATGGATTTCTTAAGGTTTTGCTCTTTTACACACTTTGATGTTTCAGAGCATGAAACATTTCTCAGTTTTAGTTATATCTGTAAATACCAAACCGATTCCAATATACTGATTTACATTTCTCTTCCTCCATTTACATGATAATCGTGACCCAGGGATTTAGAAATGTTAAAAAAGGTTAAATTTAAACAAAAAAAGAAACATTTCTTAAAATATGTTAAACAATGAGTAGGAAAAGAAGCAGTGGATAATATATGCACTTCATGTGTATTGAAGGCATTGCTGCTGAATGCACTAATGAATTGGTAGACCAATAATTGGTCGAGGCTGATACGAAAAAAATGCAAATATTGTCCGAAAATATAGATCTTCTTCTTATAAGCAGTCTTTTAAATTTTCCCACAGTTATGATTTGCTCTCGGTCTTGATAAGAACAGTTCTTTCTTCCTATTCAGCAGCAAAATGGTGGGAAATTTACTGATTTTTTAGGGACCAGAGATAGAACTTTGTTAGAAACGGAAATAACTTGTGCTTAAAGATAAGCCTAGCACTGAAACCGGTTTGCTTATACCAGTCCCAATGAGAACTCATGCAGGAAGTCTTAGAATAACCCAGAACGACATTTAGTCTTTAGTGTAGATTTTAATTCAGTTTAGGCAGAAATAGTATGAATGATTCTGGTTTCAGAGTAAAGCCACTACTGACTGAGGCAGAATAATTTAGCCAAAAATCTAATTGAGATTATTTTGAACAGATATTTATTTTATCATTTTATTAGCTCAAGCATGTAGATGTTTCACTCCAGGGTTTCAGTTTTTTCATGACCTTGAAAGCTTGTCATTGATTCATGACTTTACAGTCACCTTTCAATGAAAAAGTTCTATTATAATACATGGGTCTACATCTAGCTTCAACTCTCTCTTCCCTTCTGTGTGGCATCAAACCCACTCTGAGTGTCTTACCTAAAGCACCGGAGCAAGAAATGTAGTGTTACTCATATTAAATGTAATTAACTTAAATTGATTGCTTCTGCAATTTAAAATATGTGTTTTTCTATGTTGTGATCATATTGCAAATGCAATGAATTTCCCAGCCCTGCTACTGACCAGAATGAACAATAAGGGCCAAACATCCAAAAACATCTTGATGAGGATAAAGACTTTTGGCAAAATTTAATTTGAAGAGAAAAGCATCTGATAACATCTGTTACATCAAACACAGCAGTCTGGATAAGAACATGGTAGACTGTAAAATGCATGAGGTTGACTTAATGTTTTAAACTTAAAAGATGATACTACGTGGAGGTTACACGCATTAACTTTCCGCTCCTCAACTAACATAATAATTTTTAAGAAATTGAACTTAGTGATGTAAGCTCTTTGTGAGGGAAGCAGCCTTTAAAGCTCACCCTATTGCGAAGTTCATCTAATTTGGTTTCGATGCTACTCCTATGTTCCTATTTGTTTCAATGTTAATCATGCATTCTTCCTTTGTAATGTAATTAAACTTATTGCAGAGGACACTGGGAACAGTGAAACTGTTTATATGGGTGAATCATTAATGTTTGATTCATCTAGCATTGCTAGACGCAATTAACCATAACAGCAGCCTCACTCATGGTGTCATCTGGTCGCACCTACACATAGCAAAAAAAAAAATCTGCCAATGATGTTAAGTTTAGATATTCCAGCAGAGTAAAGTTTTTCTGTCATACTGATTATTTTTTTAAATTTAAATCAAACACATTTCCTCATTTACACATAGCTTTCCTGTCATTCACATTTTCTGACCCATAATATTGCTCTTTTTTTCACATTTTTTTCCTCACCTGGAAACATAATTTTACAAATTAAACTTACCTGTACAAGAAGCTCTGAGTGTGGAACATAAAAGAAAAATATTATTTTCCTACCAACTAAATGTAGGCGATTCTAATTAGAGTGATTCTTCTTTTAACAAACCGTCTCAGATACCAAGAAATGGATTGAAAGGGTAAAAACAAAAAGCAAATTGCATAACAAGACAAAATATAACTAATACAGATGGAGCAAATTCATTTGGGTTTCATTTTTTTTTTTATCATTGTGACTCATTGCTTTAGCATCGTCCTTCCTTTAGATAGTGCCTCGTTACTCTCCGCTGTGCTAATTTGCTGGTGTCAAGGCTAGAACCCGACATTAAATGTTTAATTGGGCTTTGCTAATTACGGCGATGCAGTTTGTTTACTGACGTTTCACTGGGGAGAAGTTAAAGTAAATCACTAATTACATTGTTGTTGCATAAACACTTTGGTTGTTAATGTTGTGTTCAGGATATTCAGACAGTTATGATGCTGTCTGTCTCCCAACACTGATTTAATTGTGTGATGAAACAAAATCAAATTTTTAACGTTTGCCATGAAGAAGGCTTTTAGGGACTAAAGAGACAATATCTTTGCTATTTAAATCATAACTATAATTTTTTTTCTGTTATTACTTTAATTTAGGTGATGTCTTTTATAAGCTGCTGCTAGTTAGAAATTCATGCTTACATTTAGTGTGAAGAGCTATTTTACCCGTAATAATGTTTTTATGAAAGACAGTCTCTCTTCTATTTGACAGATAATATTGCTCTTATGTAATCCTGCCACAGTGGTTGCCATTTCATGGGAATATCAGGCTCTTTTTTTCCATGCCATCAAGTCAGCCAAAAGCAATTCAACAGACCATTACTGGTTATTGATGAAGCGCCTCCAAGGTTAATCTGCGGAAATAAATATCCATCCATCCAGCAGTAATAAATAATGTGTTGGAATAGGACATCTGGAATAGGGCTTAAAACTATCGATTATTTTGCAATTAATCTGTCGATTAGTTTTTTGATTAATCCATTAATGATCTGATAGCCAAAGGTTTTTTGAAGGAGAAATTTTAGGAAATGAAACTAGATGAAACTCAAACTTTTCCACTTGAGGAGTTCTGGATCGAAAATATTGGTGGACCTTTTTCTTTTTTATGTTAAATGCAAAATGTTTAAATAATATTTTTACAACTTTGATATAATTACTGCTCTAAGTGGGTCGTTCTGAGAGTAAAGGCATGTTTTAGAGGCTCTATACTCCAGTTAACGATTCTTCGATTACTAATTTAGTTAAGGATTGTTTCAAAGATCGATTAATCGATATTAACCTGATTAATTGTTGCAGTCCTAATCTGGAGAGTGTTTGAATTTAGTTTATTGGAGAAGGAAACTTTCGTGGAATCTGAGATTTTTGGAGCAGGTTGTGTCAACTTGCATCCATCGACCACTTTATTCACTTTTTTACACAAATAGCTGATCAGGTAATAGAATGGCGGCACATGGATGCATGTAGACGTCTGGATGTAATGGAGTCAGCCTTCTCAAGATTATAGGAAGCATCACAATGGGGGAAATAGAGATCAAGGTGACTTTGTACATGGTTGTATTCCTGAAATGTCAAAAGGTGTATTTCCCAGAGCTTGTTAAGTCTGTACACAAAGAATCAAGGTGCTTTTGAATCTAAAAGAGAATCTGAACTTAGACTCTGAGGTCTGTTTGTCTTCCCTACAGTAGTAGGATCATCAGTTTGTTTTTACACATTTTAATGATTAAGACAGGAATTGGTATCACGACTCCTGGAGGGCC